GCCCAAGCTCTCCCTATGTCTGTCCCTTTATGACCGGCTGAAGTTCTTTTAAATTGTGCTTGGTTCTGTTACAGCAACTGAAGGAGTCAGGTTAAAGCTTAAACAGTTACAGGTTTATTGAGGAAGCTTATAAATCATATGGTTACAATGGCTATTGCTCTATTTCTTAACTATTAGCAAAATATAGGTCTTAAAAATGGTTACAAAGAAGATAAAGATAGAAAAATAGAAATAATGGTACCAAGTAACAGCTTACTCTTTCTATGTGTACACTTAAGACAGAGGACCACATCCAGGTACCATTTTTACCCCCTTCTGTGCCTCTCGACTCCAGCATGTCAGGCCAGGGCTGGTCCCTCAATTCCTAGGAAAGACAAAAATACGAGGTGGGCGTCCCCATAGAACCTCGGGAGGTCAAACACCTAACCCGACCAGCAGGTAGAGGGTAGAATGACACTCAAAGTGAGTGTGTGCTGGGCCCATCTTATAAACCCATGGGGTCACGTATTTCTCTTTCTTATCTGTAATGCCAATTGATGCTGGTCTGTCTGCTGTGAGACCAGTTCTTACAAGGGAGTTGTGAACTTAATTTACACTTGTAAGAGAGATTTGAGATGATTAAATTTTGAAGTACTGGACATTGTTTTCTCAGTGGGAAATTCCTCTCAGGGACTGTGTGTGTGTTCGAATCAACATAGGTGCCAGCCGGTGGCAGTCTTGCATATCCTGATCTCTCCTCATATCTATGTTTCAGCTTCTCAGGATCAGATGAGCCAGCATAGACTATGCTGATTTTATTGCTCCTTCTGTGTCCTGTATGCTTCAGGAAGGCAAATAAGATGGATGATATGGAGGCGGGCTGTCTGGCCACAACTTGTTCCAGCCCCAGGACCTGCCGGGTTCCTCCCTGCTGCCAGGGCAGACCGTGCAGCGCTCACCCAGCAAGGCTGCTCAGTGAGAGCCCAGCCCCCGCCCTGGAACTCCAGGTGTCTGTCTGTCCTTGCCCTGACCCAGGGCTCTCCAGGCCAACTCACCTTGGCAGCGAGCGCCCACGTCCTCGAAGTGCTCACAGAGGTTCTCCGCATGCTTGTAGGTGCAGGTCCCCAGCGCCGCCTCCGTCCCCTGGCACTGCACGTCCATCATCAGGACAGGCTGTGACTCGGGGCCCGGGCCCCCAGCTGCCTGCACACCACGGCCACGTCCTTCTCGTCCCAGCCGTCGTCACACACGGTGCCCCAGCGCCCGGCCACAAGCACCTCCACTCGCCCGGCGCAGCCGTGGGGGCCCCCCACCAGCCTCACATCTGGAAAAGCAAACAGCTGCTGGGATGCTTGCCCAGCCCAATGCGAGGCATCGCCAGCGAATGCAAAACAGGGCAGAACGGGCTTCCCCCGTGGCCCTGGGCCCCTCGCCAGCATTTGCCTCCAGCACCTACCGGTCACTGAGCCCCAAAAAGGGGCACAGAATCAGAGTCCCTGCTGTGCAGAAGGAAACTGAGGCACAGAGACAGGACTTGGCTTACTCCTAATCACACAGTAAACTTTGAATAGAGCAAGGAATATAACGTCCCTCCACTCTAACCACTAGACCCCACTCTCTATGCAGAGCCAGGGACAGATCCCTGCCCACCCCAGCTTCTAGCCACCTTTGCCTTTAAACACCAGTCCCTACTCCCCTCCTAGAGACAAGGACATAAGCTTGGTCACTGGCTCACGGGGAATGGGGATCAAGACGAGGATGGGTCCGAACTGGACTCCTGGATCCGCGTCTGTCCCTTCCCCACCAGCTCTTCCCAGTGCCACTCGCCTCCATTTCCACTCAGCAGCGTGAGCATTGAACACCCAGCACTCCCCGCATCCCTGGGGAGAGATGGGGGGTCTGCCCTGGAGATCGGCCGCCTACCAGCAGAGCACACAGCTCCTGAGCAGTCACGGTCGTGCCCCTGTTGTGGGGCCAGCGCTGGTAGTTAGAGGGGAGACACCCTGACTCACTCCAGTGCCAGCTGCACCTGTCCCTACCGGCCCCCGCTCATTGGCATACACCACTGACTGCCCCTCCGTGGGGGAACTGGTTACACTCCCCGGCTCTGTCATTTGCATCCGCATTGCCCAGAGCTGCCAGCCTGGAGAGTGTCCATGGGCGCGTGACGCAGCGGGGACTGTGACCATTTCTGTAGCCACAGTGTCACTCTGGTTGTGCTTTCACTGGTTGCTTTGTGGTGCTGTGTGTGATTGTTACTGTCCTGTGCTGTTCTGTAGTGACAGTGTGTGTGCGCGCAGTGCCTAGCGGAGGATGGGGTCTCTGGGGGAGGACTCCTGAGGGAGGCGCAGAGGGAATGGCCCAGGCCAGCCTGACCCCTGAGCTAGGTGGGGGGTTCAGTCAGGGGGCACTCTGCCTGGGGAGCAGGACAAAGGAAGAAGAGGGGCTGCCTAGAGGGCTGTGACCAGTTGCTGGGGGTGTGAGAGTTTCCGGCTGGCTTAGGGAGAGGGGAGTCTACCTGGCTAGGGGGGCCGAGCAGGGGCCCTGGCTCTGGGCCCCCCTCTGCCCCAGATGGATTGTACTGAATGCTCCTGGTAACAACCAGGCTGGGCTACGCTGTGTCCCCGTCAACCGATAACCCTTCTGTTCTACCTGCCGGCTGAGTCACGTCTGGCTGCGGATGGGGGGTGCCGGGCCCAGTGACTCCCACGCTCCGGACACCATGATCACAGCATGTGCCCCGGGATTTAAATATCCTGCGCTTGATTTGCATCTTCCCGGACAGTTGCCATTTTTTGAAATTTACAAGTCCGGACAAATTGCCCGCGTCTACATGCAGCAGGGACCCGGTACTTAGAATTAAAGCCCTAAATCAAATTACCTGTTATTCCTCCTGTTATTCCTCCTCCTGGTTTGAACTAGGGGACTAGTGTAGACATATCAAAACATATCTTCAGAAATATTCTGATACAAAACAAATTTTGATTTCTTTTTTTAAACAAAAGCTTGGTAACCTTGCTTAAATCCAGGTAACCTAGAGAAAATCCATCTCATTCACTGAAGGCCTGAGTCAGAGCTGCACCAAGGATTTTGTATTATGTTATGCCGCTTGAACCCGGGCAGCCGCCTCGCTCCCATTGCATGCTGGGACCTGCCCTAGGGCAGCCACCTCTCCAAAGCTCTGCTATAGCCACCTCTGCACAGGCCATGCTGTGATGCCAGTGGGTGGGATCCTCGCCTCCAAAGGGTAGGTGTTGGGGAGACAGACACTCCCAGGCCGGTGGTTGGGGCAAAGAGGCGAAATCATCACTAGTGGGCCCCACGGCTCCAGCGGGAAGGTGGGGCCAGGCGGGGCAGAGTCCAGAGCAGTTGGGGCCAGACATGGCAGTGACAGGTGCTGCGACCCAGAACACTGCGGCAGCCCCAGGCCGGCTGCCCATCGGCTGCTCCACCCCGCTCCTAACCCTGGTGCACCGGGCAGCCCCATCAGGGCCTGGCTCTGCAGCTCAGACTGAGCCCTGCTCCCTGGGGGAGGGCATGGGGCAGGGTTCAGCCACAGCCCCAAGGGAGAACAGGCGAGCTCTGTGTGCCCCCACCAGGGATGCAGCCAGCTGGCAGGTACCTTACGTAGCCAGTGTCACCCTCACCAAAGCAGAGGCAGAGGCAGAACTGGAGTCCATGGCTCCCCGGGGAAAGTTGCCAGGGAGCCCTGCACACTTCCCCTGTGCTGCTTGGGTGACTGTTAATACGCAGAGGATCCGGGTACGACTGTGTCAGGCTCTTTCACTAGCAAAAAGGCCACGTGAGCCCCCAGATTCCTCCCTGAGCCCCAGGTCTGGGTGCGGGCAGGTGCCTTTCCCACAGGCCCCTAGGAACTGGGAAGAGGTGGGGCAGCTAAAGCTCTAGGAACGGGCACAAGGTGACACCTCCCCGAGCCAGCGATGGACCCCAGGAGACCTGGCTCCCGGCCCTGCTGGGGGGTGTCAGTCACGGAGAGTTTGTGTGGATGCTGACCGTGTCCAGGAAGCGGCACCCAGGCCCTGCTTCTCCCAACCCCAGGACGTGCCATGTCCCTCCCTGCCCCCAGGGCAGACCGTGCAGCCACCAGCTCTTCCCAATGTGTCGCACCCCCGTTTCCACTCAGTAGCGTGAGCATTGAAAACCCAGCTCTCCCCGCGTCACTGGGGAGAGATGGGGGGTCTGCGCTGGAGATCGGCTGCCTGCTGGCAGAGCACACGGCTCCTGAGCAGTCACGGTCGTGCCCCTGTTGTGGGGTCAGTGCTGGTAGTTGGAGGGGAGAGACCCTGACTCACTCCAGTGCCAGTTGCACCTGCCCCTACCGGCCCCCGCTCATTGGCATACACCATGTACTGCCCCTCCCGATGAACTTCTTGCCGTGCCCAGCTCCGTCACTTGCAACCACACTGACTGGCTACGACTGTACCACAGGCTTCTTGCGCCAGAATTCTTTTATGCAAGAGTTTTTGCGCAAAAAAAACCACTGCATGGACGCTCTTACGCAAGAAAGCTCTGATGGCCATTCACAGAATGGCCATCAGAGCACCTGTGCTTTTTCCCAGAGGGTTTTTTGCACAAAAACCCCTGCGGAGCCTCCACACGTGCCTTATTGCACAAGAGCTGTAGCGCAAAAAGGAGTTCTGCCTCGTAGAAGGAGGTTTACCTACACCGGTAAAAGCCCTCAGTTCTGCCGTTTTACTGCCGATTTACTTGCGTAATAACGCATTTGAGGTGTGGACAATCTGCAGGTTTTTGCACAAAAACGGCCGAGCAGTGGAGAAGTAGCCACTGTGTCCACGGCCATGTGTGACGCAGAGGGGACTGTGCCCACTCGAGTAGTCACGGTGTCACTCTGGTTGTAGATTCACTGGGTGCTTTGTTGTGATGTGTGTGATTCCGGCTCTTCTGTGCTGCTCTGTGTGTGCAGTGCCCGGCAGGGGATGGGGTCTCTGGGGGAGGACTCCTGAGGGAGGCGCAGAGGGAATGGCCCAGGCCAGCCTGACCCCTGAGCTAGGTGGGGGGTTCAGTAAGGGGGCACTCTGCCTGGGGAGCAGGACAAAGGAAGAAGAGAGGCTGCCTAGAGGGCTGTGACCAGTTGCTGGGGGTGTGAGAGTTTCCGGCTGGCTTAGGGAGAGGGGAGTCTACCTGGCTAGGGGGGCCAGGCAGGGGCCCTGGCTCTGGGCCCCCCTCTGCCCCAGATGGATTGTACTGAATGCTCCTGGTAACAACCAGGCTGGGCTACGCTGTGTCCCCGTCAACCAATAGCCCTTCTGTCCTACCTGCCGGCTGAGTCACGTCTGGCTGCAGATGGGGGTGCCGGGCCCAGTGACTCCCACACTCTGAACACCATGATCACAGCATGTGACCCGTGTGCAGGGATACAATGGGAGCCTGGGTCAGTGTGACAACAAGAGGGCATCCCATGGGGAGAGGGGCCACCCTGACCTGAGAGATGGGGCTAGATTCTCCTTTAACACACAGGGGGCTTGGAGAGCAGGGGGCTTCTTCATATGGTGCAGTGTGGTGGGGTGGGGTGGGGTGCGGTGAAGTGGGGTGCGGTGGAGTGGGGTGGGGTGTGGTGTGGTGGGGTGGAGTGGAGTGGGGTG